CGAAGAGACTGCAAGAGTCGAAGAGGCTATATGCCGAAGCGGCCCCTTTAGAAGAGGGCAACTACGATGGCCTTCCATTCTTTCGAATGGACAGTCATTCATTTGTTTTTCGCCACGTTGTCCCTCTCATTTTTTGTATATTCTTCTGTCCGGATTGACGAGGAGAGACGGTGAACTATCCTTTCCATGAGATTTTCTCGAGTCTGCATTTAAGTATGATAAATATATTAGATTTCTATCACGCCAAATAATGTATAATTGAATACATTTTTACTGGGTAATTTATACGAGATCGATGCACTGCGATATATTCTTGAATTTAATGGTAACTTTAGTAAGTTATTAGCACTTGTATCACCGTCTCTTTCTCGCTTTCCAATGGTTTCGTTTGTGCCTTCGTGTTCCCTTTCAGCTTCAGATGGGCCACTTCGGAGAATCTGGCGACTTACTGGTGTTCCTTCAATGTTCCGTTTTACCTGTACTTGTGCGCCCCTTTGCAGGTTTAGGTGGATCACCTGGAAGCAGCCATTTTTGGTAAAATCATCATGGGCAGTTAATCGAAATCGAGCTTTCTGCACTTGTTGGTAGAAGATGTTAAAATATGTTAAAGGATCTTTGTGAATTTTTGTCTCGATGAGAACTGAGTCCACGGTAGCTTGATGGGGAAGGTTGTTCCGTTTAAATTGATCTCTCGAGCTAGTGGCTGCGATTTTTTTTGGAGGAGACACAGGGTTTGAAGTTTTTATGAGGAGTTCATCACTTTTTTAGCTTGATGGGGAAGATTGTTCTGCTTAAATTGATCTCTCGAGCTAGTGGCTGCGATTTTTTTCGGAGGAGGTACAGGGTTTTGGAGTTTTTGTGAGGAGTTCTTCACTTTTTCAGCCGGTTCTCCGGCTGCCCAGATTTGTAACAGGTGGCAAGTGCATTAGCCGTCTGCATCCTCCACCGGAGGTCGAACAGGACGCGGTCGCTCGATCCTTCCCGTGAATCTCTCAACTCATCTCTGATTTGGCAGAGATGAGTTAGGAGATTGCCATAATGGTAAGCCACCACCGTCAACTGCCGCATGGTATTACCATCACGAATACGTGAGCCGCCAACGGCAACTGGTAGATGGCACAGCCTCGTGATTGCGCGAGCCCCTACCAGAAATTCGTTGCGCCGCCCTTGGGGGCAAAAAACGGTGAAAGCTAACGTACGAAATCAGAGGGCAGCACACGTTGCGATCGCGCGACCCTGCCCGTGAGCAATCTCCCAACTGATCTCTTGTTGCGCTTCTCTTGTGGGCAAAAAAGGGTGAAAGCTAACGTACGAAACCAGATGGCAGCACACGATGTGATCGCGCGACCCTGTCCGTGAGCAATCTCCAAACTTATCTCTGTTCTGGAAGTTGTCAAGCATATATGATTTTTCAAAGAATGTGATTGAAACGATATTGCTATATAAGCAAATCAAGAAACAATGGGTCTCTTAACTGTACTTAAAAAATTGAAGCAGAAGGAGAAGGAAATGAGGATTCTTATGCTGTAAGGGTTATGCCTAATATCTTGTTTGAGGTTAACTGTCAAGTTCGTTAAAATATGAAAATGAAAAACCATTTTCATTAATATGTAGATTAATATTCTAAAAAACAAATTAACTTTTCTTTTGTATATATCATATATTATAGAGGGTTAGACAATGCTGGAAAGACTACGGTATTGAAGAGAATTAACGGTGAGCCGATCGATACAATATCCCCAACGCTTGGTTTCAATATCAAAACATTGGAACATCGTGGATATAAACTGAATATTTGGGATGTTGGAGGACAGAAGTCTCTACGTTCTTATTGGAGGAATTACTTCGAATGTACCGATGGTTTAATTTGGGTGGTGGATAGTGCGGATAAACGAAGGCTGGATGATTGCAAAGTAGAACTTCATAAATTATTAAAAGAAGAGAGACTCGAGGGTGCTAGTCTTCTTGTGCTGGCTAATAAGCAAGACCTACCCGGAGCCTTGTCGGCTGCTGATATTGCTGAGATATTAGATCTGCCTAATATAAAAAGTCATCACTGGCAAATATACAAGTGTTCAGCTGTCACAGCTGAAAACTTGGTAGAGGGCATAAATTGGATCGTTGACGACATTGCGGCAAGGATTTTTTACTTAGATTAAGTCGATTTTAGTTTTGTAACATGAGTATTCCTTTCATAAAAATAAGAAAGTGTTAAAGAAAAAACGTCGATTAATGTACTTTAATAATTCACTAGAATTTGTACGTTGGAATACTGGCAGTAGTCCATATTGGTTAGCTTAATTTTTTTTTTCTGCCTTTTTCGCTTTCTTCGCCTTTTTTTCGGTTGGAGGGGAAGGTGGCCGCGTATCAGGATATTGTTCCAAAAAATACGACTTTATGGCGCCCTGATCAACGACCTGCTTAGGCCCAGAGAAGGCCTTCATGATCTCTTCGACTAAGGACTCGGATAATTTCAACTTAAACTTCTTTATCGCCTCCATGAATTGAGCTGAAATCAGGAATTCAATAGCTACTCTACACGCCACTGTCTTCATCCTTCATCCAGAATACCAATACCAGATAAATTTATACTCAATGTCTCAAGGTACGGTAAATCTTTCCTTGCCTTTCGAAGCGAACGTATCTCCGAGTGTCAGCACGAAGTGTCCAAAATTCTTTTTCAGCTTTCTCTTCTTAGGTTTCATCGCCTCGAAAATGGCCCTGTCCATTAGAAGCTTCCTAGGATCAGGGCCGATTATCTGAAAATCACCAAGAACTCCTCCTAATCGAATCCTAAGCCAAGGCCTTTCTTCCCGGATCTTCTCCAGTTCAGGAAGGACGTTCTTGTCTGCCCAGATGTTCTCCAGGTCGAGGTGTCGAAGACTGCTAGAAGGCGAGCGATTCGGTGCAAGAACTCGGACGAGGGCTAGGGCACCTTGGGCTTTCAACGGGTTGTTACCCAGGAAGAACTCCTCCAAAGAGACGTTCCTTGACAAGGACCTGGCGATCGCCTCTGCATCATGAGGACTGAATCTGTTTCCTGAAAAATGACTCGCGTTACTGGCAATCGTCTCCATCGCAACCTGGACATCGGTTCAGGTTCCAGGGTCATACCACTCAGGTTGAACCTGCGGAGACTCAAAGTCCGTGCCAGGAAGGGGCCGAGGAACGGAACGCAGTCTTTATCAAGGGAATTCCAAGAGAGGTCTAGGCTGAGCAGTTCATAATTCTTGAGGAGGCCTTTGAAGAGGGACTTGACGGTTTCCCGGTCGAAGAGGGAATTCCAGGAGAGGTCCAAATGCCTCAACGACTCGTTCTCGGAGAGCAACGTCTTCAGGATCTCGGCTGATCCGCTGGCCAGCAGGTTGTGCGAGAGGTCGATGAAGCTGAGAGTCCCACAAGCCAGGATAGCGGGAACGATCTCGAGCAGACCCTCATCTTTCAATTCACATCGACTAAGGTCGAGACTCAACAAGGACGTGGTCGTGGATAGTCCGTCGACGAGTTTCTTCGCTCCGCTCGGTCCAATTCGGCATCCACGGAGGTTGAGCTCGGCGACGATAGTGTTGTGGAGCAGAAGATCGTTCAGATGGAAACACGCGTCCTCCGTCAGCTGATTGTACTGGAAGAAGTTGAGCCACGTCAGAGGGTACGTCCTGGTCAGTGCCGTAACTAAAACTACAAGTCTACGCGTTATCGAGGGAGATCCTCTCAAGCCGTACCTGAAGCAAATGGCATCCCTACTTGCGCTACTAGTATTATGGCAGTCAACTAACATATCCACCACCCAACTAACCATCACCACCACCATCCCTCCAACCCCCCCTCCACCAATACAAAAGGGTTGGAAAAACCTCAATGCTCCGGATCAATCCGAAAACTACAAACAAATGCTAAAATAGTTATACTATATTGAATTTCATATCATTTCATACTTTTGTTAGAATTTTTAATTAAGCCGATGCACCCAGCCAACAATGCCGTTATCGATAGAGCTGAATATGAATATTTGTTTTATTAGGTTTATTAATACCCCATCAAAAAATAAGGAGCCTTTGAAGAGCTAGTTACGGCATTGTTCACAGTCATCCGAGACGTGTCCACGAAAGTTGCATGCTCACGCCAAAATCAAGGACTTGGACGGAGGTGTTATCGTATGTGGACTCGCAGATCGCCCTGACGAGTCTGGGATCGAGGCCGTAGTGCCTGAGATCGATCTTGTCGGTACGCAGCATCTCCTCAAAGCAGCGAACGGGCCTAAGAGCCATGGCCTCGGAGAGGTCTCTGAACTTTTGGATGCCGTTTGGCTTGTAGAATGGCGAGGGAGGATACAGGATCCAGAAAGCCGGCACCGTGCCAGGGTCGTCAGGCTCGGGGTAGGTGGTGAAGAGGTCGAACACCTTCAGCCGAGAATCGCTTATCTCGACCTCGATCAGGCAGGGATGATCATCGAGCTCTGGGATGGATTCTACCTCCTTGGGGGTGGTTGCCTCACTAGGAGTCTCCACGCTTTCCAGAGACACCTCGTCCTCCTGGATGTCCATTTTCTTGTCCAGCTGTTCAGCGGTATCCCAAAGCTTTTAATCTTCAGCTTTACGAGTTGTTCCCTACTGTATTAAATAAGAACCTAGTGATGAGCAAGGTCGGTCTCGGTCTTGTATTTTTTCAAGGCCAAGACCAAGAGAGTTCAAATTTACTCATCACTAAGAGCTTGGTCGTAAGATTGATTTTCGAGAGTCCTAATTACCCCGATGAGCTTTCGCAGTTTGTCCTTCTCAGCCTGCTCCTTGGCTTTGGCCTCCTTTTCCTTCTCTTCTTGAAGAGACGACACGAAGGCCGAGAAGGAAACGCCGCTGATAGCAGATTCCCTCTTCTCCTCGGCCTCATCTTCAGTTTCATCTTCATCTTCATCTTCCTCCTCGAAGGAATCAATCTCTCCCTCTTCATCATCGAATTCTACCTCGAACCCTTCTCCCCATGGCTTTGGATAAGGATAAGGATCGTCGTCTCCTCCATTTTGGGTGTAGAGGTATTCTGGGCCTTCTTCCAAGTTCCTTGGATCGAAGGTGCCCCTCGTCCTCTCTAAGTCCTATAAACCCCTTTTTATTTCTCATAAGTTCGGCAGAAAACTCACATTATAGGAAACTATTCGTGATAACCACATTTATGTCCCGCGCCTCGCTTCTGTCGGCCATTGCTCGTCTTGTCGCAAATCATCCCGATTCTTCTGGTTCCCCGTTGCACTATCGGAGGTTACCGAAGAGCCAATGAAATTTGACGTCGTCAGTTGAAGAAAAAAAAAAAATTGAATCGTCATCAAATTGTATCCGGTCACCTCAATGTCTTCATTCGGGAGAAGAAGCCCATTATGCGCGGCACAATGGACAGAGCTCCACCTACGCTCTACCTTGAAGACGAGCAAAATGCGGCCTTTCAGAGAAACGAGGATCTACTTCACTCTGAGTATCGCTGCCAGTCATAAATCATCGCTCGTCGACGCCCAACTTAGTCCTCTACACCCTGAAGAAACCTGCGGTGCAGTGCTCTCTCCATCCTCGAGGTCCTTGAAGATGTTGCCGGAAGGATTCCGGAAGTTCTACTTTCGGTACGAGCTCGCCACCTGCATTTACATGCTCGAGCCCTGGGAACGTGCATTCATCAGTATCCTTCAGTCTCGACAAATCGTTTTGTCCTCAGGAAAAAGTTAATATAAATTCCAAGCCCGAGGTGTACTTCACCTACAAGAACGTACTGGACGACGCGCCGCTGGTGCGATATAAAAAAGAATAGAAATTAATATTCAACCCCAATTGTCGGTATCAAAATGAAAATGGAATTTTAGAAATATTCATAAAATCCGTACACTTTTACCATGTAAGCCTGGAGTAAAATTATAAATTCGGCGTCTTAATAGCGAATTAAGAACACATTTATTATGAAATTCTAAGTGAACTTATAATTTTATAACGTCAGGTTGCAATGTCACGAAATTACGTAGAAAAGTTACAGATTTGTGATTCGATACGTAACCACCTTATCTGAGCAAAGCTTCAAACATAAATGTTATCATATTATAATATCATTTAACGGTGCAGAGCGAAGTCTACGCTTTAAAACTTTTCCAACGAAAATGTTATGAGATTATAATAATATTTTTAACGGCCCAGAGCAAAGTCTACGTTTTAAAACGGTATGCAACATGCAAATAGGGGGGAGAATTTAATTTGAAGATAGACCGTTATATATTAAGCGGCGAAAACTGAGATAGCATTTGGCGCGAAGCTCTACCGAGTTTCCTGATAACATGACATTAAGTCTACGGATTTTTAATGAAGGCCTCGTTGAGTTTCCTCGGCGCAGCGTCTGGGCGGGCCTTTCTAATTACATGCGAACGACGAAGTCGTGACCCTGAAGAGGACCCACTCGAGGGTCTCGACGTCGCGACGCGCTGATCGGCGCCGTGCAGGAAACGGCTCCTCGTAGCCGACTACCGAGTGCCCCTCGAGTGGCTCCTCTTGTTCATTGTATCATCGTTTTAAGAGAGCGTTCAATTAGCAATTACCGCTTTAACCGGTGCCACCGCGGCGTCCTCCCAGGCTTCCTCAGCCGAACTGGGAAAAGTTATTCTTGCACTCGAGAAATCCTACAGGAAAACGACGGTTTAAACACTTGACTTCCTTAAGTGGTTTCAAGTGCTCGGTTCACCCAGCACAAGTACTCATACTGTCCGAGTCGAAATTTTGATCTTAGAACCTCTAATTGTAGACCTTAAATGGGTTTTGAGATAACCTAAAAAGAAAAAGAAAAGACCAATAAAATCGAGGTCCTCCTTCATACCTTAAAAGTGGCGGATACTTCCATTTTTTCTACTTTTACGCCTAAAGTAAGAATTAATTCATAACGAGTAGGAAGTAGAAGATTGAAACTTGAGACGTAAAGCGTGAGGGACTGAAAGAAGTTTTTCTTAGACAATGTTATGTTTAAGGCTTATATAGGGCTAAAATTTCGACTCGCATGGAAGATTTATTTTCCGAGCGAGCTTTCGTGAAGTTTATAGCGCTTATCGTGGTATAGTAAATGTTTTCCGTCAAACCAGGTGATCCTTAACTCGAGATTCTTCCGTACGATCAGATTTCTGCATCCTCTTCGTCGTCGCCCTCGGCTTCTGGTTGTTTCTCCCGGCAAGTGAGACTCCTTGTAACGTCCAATCTCCGCCATGAGTTCTCGAAGTCCTTTCGGGGGTTTGCGGTCAAGACAAGGAGGCTCCGTCGACGATTGTACTTTTTATTGAAACTTTTCATTATCTTTATACTTTCAAGGGAAGGAAGAGGGAGTAGGAGCTTATGTACACGCGATTGCACGCTCGACACAACGGGGGAATCTTACAAAGTGATATCGTTACATCTCGACGTCGCGGAGATCCTTTAATTGTCTACTTCGGGGTCGCGCGGGTTCGGCCGGTTGGCTCGAACGCAATAAGAATAGAAATATAATATTACCAATAATATTAATAATATTAATAATACAATATATATTCGATCTATCTATCCGTATAATAATATAGATTCATCTTCTCGAGTAATGGAAATAGAGGGGAAACAATTAGAGATAGAAGGTAGGGAAGAAAAACGCATCTATGATAGAAAGTAGAATCCGTACCTTGCGTTAAACCTATTTTAGGGCCTAGGCCGGCGTTAAGAGCTAGTTCGCACGCATTGCGTTAGACGGAGCATCGGCGGAGCGAGGCGCCAAAATTGCACATCCGGTCGCCGGGACGCCGGTTCCCCCATAGATCACGGGGAACAGGCGAAAACCGACGTAGGGGGAGGGGGAGAGACGCGCATCAATCGCGCCTGCGCACGTGAGATCGCCCTATTTACACTTGTGCAACGTTTACACGTCGACGCGCCGTGAACGCGCCTCGGGACTCGAGTTCACGGGGAAAAAAAGAGGTCCTCGAGGTGAAACGCGGCGATTTCCTCCCTTCTACGAGTATCACAATGTCTTCTGGAGGAACGTGAAGCCTACGGTTAGAGGTGCGTCTAGAGGTGCGCGGAAGGATACGTCCACTCGGAAAACAAGCTCCGAAAAACCGATTGCCACCCCGAGAAACAAAAATTTAATGAAAAATTCAATATTTCGTTGATTCAAAGACTGATCATTGAACTGAAATTCAACTGAAATAAATTGTCATTCCGAAGAAACGTTGCGTCCTATTTACTCGAATTTATTTCAGTCAAATTATTCTCCCTTGAATGAACAAAATATTCAATGATACGTTTTTTTTCTTAGTGTATGGCAATGTGATTCAGTAACAAGTGACACTTGGAATGAACGTAACAATGCTTCGGGGACTTCTAACGATTTTCAGGGATTTCCGACGTCCTGCTTGCGACTTCCTTCGTACCACATGATCTCCTACTGATCTTAAAGGGATGCGAAAGTGGCATCTGAGGGATCAATACTTCATGAAACTTTTCTCCAAACAGGGTGCACCGAATAATTTCAAACTCCACGATCTGATAATGGAGGCTGTAAGGAAGGTTCCGATACCCATGAAATTTCATATTTTAGGGAAAATTTTTAAAACATCCTTGAACAAATTTGTGAAAAATTTCACAGAGGTCGGGACCTTCCTTATTGCCTTCATATTCACGATGTGAAGTTTTAAACGATTCGGTAAATCCAGTACGGAGAAAAGTTTCATACACGAGACTTCTGACGCCATTTTCGCATTACCTTACATGATTTTTAAAGGGGTTTTCCATTGTCACTTGTTTCGAATAATTTCAACTTTGACGGAATTTGAAGACAGGCTTTCGCGAGTGAATAAACCCCTCGAGTACGCGTGATCGCGTATCAGGACGGCGAAACGGCGCGAGCGAATGACAAGTGCGACGCGAAAGCGATATGTTGGGACCACGCGAGCGTTATTTATATGCTGTTGTTGCAACAACCATTGTAGAGGTGTATTACGAAGTATACTATCGCGGTGGACACACGTACGACATGCGTCGCCACTGTGGAGTGCAATGTCCCTCTTAACGCACGTCGATTTTGACGCTCGAGTGGCCCCAGCTTAGCCGGTGATTCCGGCGACGCGGTACCGAGAATCCGCGGCGTTATCGCGAATCTGCGGCGTTATCGCGAACCTGGGGCGCGCCGTCAGCGTTAAGGCCTCCACAGACATCTCGCGTAAACATAAAAGTAAGCATACCGGCAGGATATGATAAATGAACCTGCAGAAAATCTAACTCGGGGTCGATGTTCGTAAATTCTCACCGTTATCTTTATAGTCACTGTTAACCCCCCCAGTTACAAAACGCCCCTGAAAAAAAAGATTAGTTAATTGAAGCAGATATGTTGATATATATATAGTATATATATTATATAGTATATATATATATATTTATACATATATTATATACATATCGTTCTCTGAATCGTATATAATAGCAAGAAACATTAATTTTATTGAGAAGAAAAATTGTATCGGTGATTTAAACGAACTTTGTTTAGTCTTACCGACATTTCTTTGGACGTATTTTAACGCAGGATTTTGTAGTAACAATGCATATTGCTTTGAGTCAATCAACTATCTTTCTCAGGGTGGGGAAGCTTCCGCGTGACCGACGGTTTTCTACGAAGCGTCAGGATAGTGGCTTACTTTATTCCCATGTATCCAAAGCGACAAATGAATATCGTTTCATATCAAATATTAATAATCCACGCGTATGGACTCTGCCGTAATTAAAGAGTTAAACGAGATATCCATGAAGGCCTCCACCGCGATCCTGCGTTGCGCGTCGCGTCTTGGCGGCGACGCGCTGCGGGAAGACGGACAGGAAGTACGATCTACAGGCTTAGCGAAATTAATAAGTACGGGCTATGTACATATGTACAGCGACGGGGACTCTTGGCGAGTCGTTATTGTCATTAGAATTATCGTTACGGTCTGTCGCTTGCACCTCATGCGGCGATCGCACGCGGTCCCTCGATGGCCCTCTGCGTCTGCGCTGTGAGGTTGCGCCGCAGTGTCACCCTGGAGGGGACGGACGGTCGCGTGTGGCCTCGCGCGCTGCGGCGCCGCAGCGTTCGGAACCCTAGGGACGGAGGCCGGGAAATGAGGAGCGCACGTTAAACGTGCACCGTGAGCACCTGGTGTGGGCCTGTCTGACTGGTCCCGGGTTGCTGGTGTGAATACGACACGGGCTCTTGGAGCCGGGGTTTGCTGTAAGGTTTGTGGGGTCCTTCCTCGTAGGAGAAGCTGGCGGTGTTGTTCCTGGCCTCGGCGCTGGGGGGTTTGTAGAGGGGCGGAAGCCGATGTCGGCCCTCCTCGGAGACCATCTCGAGGCTCTCCTCGGGGGGCCCCAGGGCACCCAGGGAGGCGCCCGAGAGGGGTCTCACGACGGAGACCCGGGGCTCGCTCGGCTCCTGGTCCTTGAGCGGGTTCGCGTACCTGCGCAGGTTCTCCTCGTTCTGCAGGTTGTTCGACTTCTCGTCCAGGTCGCCGCGATGCCGATGGAGGGAGGTCTCGCTGCTGGTGGTGGCGGTGAGCCCGGACCTCCTTCGGACGGACCTGAGGTACCAGACGCCACCCAGGGCGGCTAGGAGGAGGACGCTGGCCAAGGCGCCGCCTAGGACGGCCAGGTACCCGTTGCCCCCCACGTTCGTGGGGCTTGGCTCGCTCAACAGGGCCGTCTCCACCTTGACCTCGAGCACGGAGGCCAGGGCGAGAGGCCTGCCGAGGGGGCGGCTGAGGGCCTCACCGAGGTCGCGGGCGGCATCGGCGGCCGCCTCGGAGAAGATGGTCACCTCGACGGTGTCGTTGTCCCCGGGCTTCAGGTCGCAGAGCAGGACCACCGACTGCGGCCTCCTGGGGTCGGCCAGGAGTCTCCTGAGTCGCCTGCACAGGAGCTCGACGGACGTGCCGGTGGCGAGGGTGTCCCTCCGGAGGAGGATCGTCAGGCGAGAGCAGGTGGGTCCGGGGGTGGCCTGGCCGGGCCAGCAGGAGGGGGGCGCCGGCAGCGCAGGGGGCCCCACGCGGCGACCGGTTTCCACGGGGCGACACTCCCCCCAGGCGGGGCACGGGGGCGCCAGGCAGCTCTCCCCCGGCGAGGGCACGCACACCTCGTGCGCCAAACACGAGGTCCCGTTCAAACAATTCCCAGGGCCGCACCACACATTGCTGCACTGATTCTTTCCGTTCCTGCATTCGCAGAGGTTGCAGTCGTCCTCCCAGGTGGCGGCGACGCACCCGGGCCCCCCAGCGGCGCGACGCTCGCAGCGGGCCCCGGTTCGCCCTGGGGGGCACACGCAGGAGAAGCTGGCGATGCCGTCGACGCAGCTGGCGCCCCCCACGCAAGGGTCGCTGGCGCACTCGTTAACGTTGATTCGGCAGTCGGGCCCGGTGAACCCGGGCGCGCACTCGCACCTGAACCAGTTGACCCCGTCGACGCACCTGCCGCCGTTAAGGCAGGGCAGGGGCTGACAGTCGTCGACGTCCCTGCGGCAGTCGGGGCCCTCGAAGCCTTCGCGACAGACGCACCGGTAGCCCCCGTCGGCGGTGTTGACGCAGGTCGCGCCATTTTCGCAGGGGGCGCTAGCGCAAGCGGGGGAGGCGATATGGCAGGCGGCCCCCTCCCAACCGGCGGGGCAGTGGCAGGTGAACCCGTCCCCCCTGTCTTGGCAGGTGCCACCGTGTCGACACGTCCCGGGCTCGCAGTGGCCCCCGCGGAGCGCACAGGTCTTCCCTTTCCAGCCACCCCTGCAGATGCAGGTGAAGTCCGCCACCCCGTCCACGCAGGTCCCGTTGTTCCGGCAGGGCGAGGTCGTGCACTCGTCCACGTCTGCAAGCCGGAAACCGCGCCGAGGGTTAGAGGGTTCGGACCTGGCCAGGGCCGAGTCGGCGGACCTACCTTGGTCGCAGAGGTCGCCGCTCCAGCCCTCCCTGCAGATGCACTGGAAGGAGTTGATCAGGTCGACGCACGTGCCCCCGTTCATGCAAGGGTTACCCCGGCAGTCGTTGATGTTCTCGTGGCAGTGCTGCCCCGTGTATCCGGGGTCGCAGATGCACCTACCCCCGTTGCACCTGCCGCGTCCCCCGCAGGGGGCCCCCTCGCTCCCGCACCCCAAGTCATCCGACGTCAGCCCGAACCGGGGGTTGTGCAGGGCAGGCTCCGAGCAATTCTTCCCCTGCCATTGCTCGGGACAGTGGCAATAGTAGTCCGTCTGAGTGTTGAAACAGGGCGCCGAGTTCCGGCAGGGGTTCGGGCTACAGTGGTCCCGGTCGATCTCGCACTGGAACCCCGTGTAACCGACCGGGCACACGCACTCGTACGCGTTCACCAGGTCCCTGCACTCGCCCCCGTTCTGGCACGGCTTAGAGGCGCACTCATCGATGTCCACGTCGCAGTCCTTTCCCGAATACCCCGCCGTACACGAGCAGTGGTAATCGTCCACCAGGTCGATGCACAACGCTCCGTGCTGACACTGCCCGACGCAATCGTTGATGTTCTTCGTGCAGTTCTTCCCGGTGAAGCCGCTCCTGCAGCGGCACCTGCAACCGACAATCTCGGGGTACTCTCTCGCACTCCTGGGAAGGAAACCGTCGCGGAAATACAGAGAAAACCTTCACTCAACCGGTAACGATCTATTGACTTCAAATATATATCGGAACGTCCAGGAACCAATGCATCCCAAAAAACATCCTAAGGGGTTATTTACTTAGAAAATCGTTGATTTTAATGCCTGAAGTCACTGGAAATCGTTGAAAATCACCGAACATTCACAATTTTAAGGTCACACGTCCCTTGTTACCGAATCGCATTGTCATTTATCATATGAAATCAAAGGCAATCGGTTCTCGAAGAAGGAAATCGTTTTCACCGGTTTCCGAGTGAATAGCCCCTTGGCCCCTACTGCATCCTGTTACCGCCTCCACTCGGACACTATTCCAGGGAACCTGGGACTCATCGACGACGCCACTCACCTGTAATCTCCGGCGAGGTTGACGCAGGTCACAGAGTTCTTGCATGGCGACTCCTTGAGAGCGCACTCGTCCACGTCGAACTGGCACAGGAGGCCCTGCCAGGCGGGCGGGCAGTTGCAGGCAAATCCATTCCTGCCGTCGACGCAGGTGCCGCCGTTCTGGCAGGGCTGGGAGGCGCACTCGTCGATGTCGGTCACACAGAATGGCCCGGCGAACCCGGGGGCGCACTCGCAGTGCGCGGTTTCTCCGAGCTCTCGACAGGTGGCACCGTTCAGGCAGGGGCTGGACGCGCAGGGGTTGTCGACCTTCTCGCAGGTGGGCCCGGAGAAACCCTCCGGGCAGGTGCAGCGGTACTGGTCGGGCGCGGTGTTCTCGCAGGTCCCGCCGTTCTGGCAGGGCTCGTGGGTCCCGCAGTAGTTCAGGTCCTGGTCGCAGAGGATCCCGCCCCAGTTGGTGTCGCAGATGCACTGCCAGCTGGACCCGTTGCAGTAGCCGTGCTTGCACCCCGGGTACGGCGTGCACTGGTCGCAGAAATCACCTCGCCATCCGTGCCGGCATTTGCACTCGCCGCTCACGTTGCAGTGCCCGTGGACCGGATGGCAGCCCTCCTTGCAGACCGCTGAAACGGGAACCAAATTCTGTACCTCGTGGCCTTTTAACTTCTTCACCTACGATATCGTGTGAGAGACGTGGTATGTCAATCGGGCCAAACGTGAACAAAACGTGTGAGAGACGTGGCATGTCAATCGGGCCAAATATAAACAAAACGTACGAGAGACGTGTGAGACTTTGAACGTTCAGTCAAACCGTGAAATGATCCAACGTATGACAGACATTTTTGTTGTTTATGGCACGGGCTATTGGAATTTAAATCGTAAGCAAAGGGGTTAAATCCGGCTCTTAAGGTGGGGCGAAAGTGGCGTCAAAGAGGTCTTAATTATGGAACTGTTCTCCAAACGAAGTGTACCGAATCATTTCAAACTTGACGATGTGAATGTGGAGGCTACAAGGAAGGTCCTGATACCCATAGAATTTCAATTTCTGTTTTTCAAATTTGTTTATGGATATGTTTAAAATTTATCATAAAAATGAAATTTCACGAGGGTCAGGACCTTCTTCGTAGCCTCTATATATTTATTTTTTGAGGAGTTTGAAACGATTCGGTACACTTAGTACATAGAAAAGTTTCATGAACGATTGACCTTTCAAATACCACTTTCACATCCCCTTAAGGGGATGCTAAAGTCAACCGTTTGTGAAACCGTTGTCTGTTTTCTCCGAACTGGGTTTATCTAATCGTTCAAAACTTCACAACGTGAATATTACGGCTATAAGGAAGGTCCCGACACCCCTGAAACTTCATTTCCTCCTATAAAAAATGTTGAAAATGTCTGGAAACGAATTATTATTCATTGGTAATTCCATGGGAGAGGCCTTTCATGTAACCTCCATATTCACATTGTAAAGTTTGAAATGGCTCGGTACACCCAGTTCGGAGAAGTTTCAGAAATGAGACCTCTTTGACGCCACTTTCGCGTCACCTTAAGCGACTCGGCCGCATGAATACTAGGTGCGAAATAAAGCCGATTGAATCGGATCAAATTTGACTGAAACAAACGCGTTGCCTCTTTTAGATATGGCTAGACGTGGATTAGATCAGATCGGATCAGATACGGACAGAGTGTAGCGTAAGATGCGCCTAGAAGAAAGTATAAGTTTGTTTCAGTCGGATGTCTGGCCCGGTCTGGTTTGATCCGAGGAAATTCGATCACCTGTAGCGTAACCGTAGCCTCAGTTTGGGACGATGCGAGCGTAAGAATCGACGTTAAAAGGTGCGTTACGACGAACCTTGTATTTCAACAAAGGCGACTCACGTTGTACGCGGGTCCACCTCAACAAGTCATAAGATACGGTAGATTCGCCATTAACTGAGCCTTCGTTATCCGGTTTGCGGATTACCCGTACACCCCGTCGGCTGACGTATCTGGGCTGCCGGCAACTCTTATTCAAAGTATGGCGGACAAGTTTGAAGAAATATGAGCGCAATGCCATTGCTTTTATATTATCCGTGATTTTCAATTATTATCTGTCCAGTCTCGGTCATTGAAACGATCAGATGTACCTCGCGTAACAGCGACCGTGCACGTAATGGAAAGAATTCTTAAGTGGCCAGCAAATTCCCGAACGTATTAAATTTTCGGGGATTCGGTCGACTGGTTCTTACTCTTATACTCATGATTACTTTATTCGTGTAGCCATGAATGCCTTTAACGCGAATAATCTAAAAAATACGGTACCTATACGACGGACGTTGAGACGATGGACGTCAAAACGACGGACGTCGAAACGACGCTCATGCGGCCCAAGCCTTACCGTTACGCCACGTTCGCACCGGCCACTCGGCCGCGTCTCCTGGTTCCGATCGACGAGCTAGCTCTCCCCTTCTCCCCGTGGACATTTACGGATATTTATACGCGACCGCGGCCGGCCGACCGGTCGACTTCTCAAGGCTCCTGAACGAGCTCGAAGGCGGTCCTCTTTATCCGCGCTCGATCGCCTCGGGAAACGATCGCGCCACCGTGCTTCGTTAACGTAGCCGCATCCTGCCTCCAAGGGCCTCGCGTTCCGCGCGATCCGACCGATTCAACCGATCTGAACGATCAGACCGATCCGACCGAACCGACCGATCAGACCGATCTGACCAATTCGAACAATTTGAACAATCCGACGAGTCCGACCGATCAGACCGATTCGGCCAATACAATCGATCCGACCAATCCGATTAATCCGATCAATCTGACCAACCCGACCAATCTACTGATTGAATCAAATGAACAATCGAATCGATCGACTAATCCGATCAGTCCGACCAATCCGAACAAGTTATTCCTCAAAAAGTACCTCTGTCTCCCAGACCACGACTCCCGACTTCGAGAGATCCATCCTCTGAGCTCTCCTTCGGAGAAAGTCTCGACATCGGGTGCATCGCGCGACCTGGGTTAAGAGAAACCTGCTCGGCGGTTGACCTTTCGCGAGACGCAGCGCGCGGAGCTCCACGAAGCCGTTCGAGGCCGACCAGGGCCCGTCTCCTGGAGCCGCATCCTCCGAGGATCCTCGTTCATCCAGGGACCGGAGATCCTGGCCAACTTCCCTACCTCCGTGGCCAACCGACGAACCTCGTCCTCGCCGGTTAGTCGCACGTTCGGAGAGAGTAGGGAGGCGGAAGCAACGATTAAGCACCAAAGAAAGACCTGTTATGTTAGCCGGCGCTCCATTGTACGAGCGGACCTGGCGTGATGTCGCTACCTTTGTACGCTCGTACGACATGCGTCTAACGTCCGTCCATTAAGGCACGCTTCGAGATAACTCGTCTGTTTTACGATCCGTCATCGGCGGGGTCGTGGACGCGAGATCTCGCCGGAAGTCGTCGACGACGCCGCACTCTCGCCCGCGATTGGCTTTGCGAGCCGACACTTGTCTTGCGTCAATTGAACCCGGGGGCTCTTTCCGAATCCCGACTGGCTCGACGTCGTCCACGTGGAAACTAGTTTACGCGTATCGATAAACCGTTGCGATTAATACCTGCAAACCTGCACTGGCACCACGAGTGGATGCTGCGGAAGAACTCGATTTACCTGCGCGGATTACAAATTCCTTTGGTACAAGTTTATCGTCGCATATGTAGCCATCTCCATCCTCAATGGGTTAAGGCGTGACGAAAGTGTCATTTCATATGCATGAAAACGTCAAGATATTATTTATAAATCCTCTCTTCAAACTGCGTGCACCGAATCGTTCGAAACTCACGTGATTATGGAGGCCTCCGGAAAGAACGCGATGCTCATGAAACTGCATTACAAAAATATTCGTTTACTTATTCCAGACTAGAACCAAGGACACAGATGTTTTTTGGATAATGACATTTCATCAGCATCGCGTTCTTCCTTAGGGCCTTCGTGATCGCGTCGGGAGTTTCAAATCATTCGGTGCATCCAGAATGGGGTAAAGTTTTATAAATATTTGGACATTTTTATGTATATACATGGAATAACTTTTTGGAACACTTTGAGACCTGGGAAGATCCAGTTTAACAGTAATCGCAACGGTAATAAATTGCCATGCAAATGGAGAAATGGGACGCCATGTAGATTTCTTGGAGATTCCGTGGGTTCTTATCTTCGCGATTGCGGTTTCCGTAACGAGTTGTACGCGAAGGTTTTTAGGTTAGGTAGGGAAGATCCCTAAAATCGACGCTCTCGACAATTCCAGATGCAGCCACGTCCGCGGTTCGCGAACGTTCCCTACGATGACTGTTAAGTCCTATTTAGTAGACTTCCCGCTGTCCAAGAATACCGGGAAGAGGGACGTGCATCATCGCCCATTGTCGTAACCTTTTCCCGAGTACGTCACATCCGGGGTCAGCCGAAAGTCCTGCACGCGTCGGCGCAGAAACGAGGAGGAACGACGAAGCGTCAGAGGTCGTACGTACCGATCTCGCAGTCGGCGCCTTTCCACCCCTGGATGCAGACCTTGTCGCCGTTCTCGTCGCAGGTGTAGTGCCCGAAGATGTCGTTCCTGGGCCGGCAGAACTTGGTGCAGGTCGCGTTGTAGTAATGATCGGCGCACTGGACGCGCACCCTGTAGGCAAGGTGGGCGTTCCTGCCCTGATGGTTCAGGGTGTGCCAGGTCGGTCCTGGCAGGACGATGCCGCTGTAGCTGGCCTCCTCGATTACCCCCACACTGGCCTCGTCCCTGGCTTGCAGAATCAGCGTGAACTGTCTCTGGAAAAAAAAAAAAACGAAGAAACGATCAGTTTCGATTGTTTGCCCGGTTAAGGAGATGTCAAAGTGGCATCTGAAGGGTCAATCGTTCATGAAACTTTTCTCCGAACAGAGTGTACCAAATCGTTCAAAGTTCACAATGTGAATATAGAGGCTATAAGGAAGCTCCTGACGCTCATGAAATTTCATTGTTTGTAAAAAAAATTTTTTAAAATACCTGATAATAAATTTTCAAGACATTGAAATTTCACGGGGCTCGGGACCTTCCTTATAGCCTCCATATTCGTGTTGCGAAGTTCGAAAATGACAAAACCGATAAAAATCGCGGAAGTAACGAACGTGGTTGGACGCGGTTATTATTGTTTTTCCATCCTCGACGCGTTGACGCGCCGCGCTCAGTGGGACTTCATTCTCAGAGAGCACGAGGAGGAGACGGAACGAGTTCGCGTCTTCGAGGTGCGGCTCGCCTCTCATTCTTCGTTCCTCGATCTCGACGAGTCGACCTTCCTCTCGCAGAAGATGTTCAGGGTGTGGATCCCGAGAACCGTTTTAATGATTTGCGAAACCCTTCAGGAAGGTGCTGAACGGTATAAAAGCTGACATTTCCAAATCGTCGAAAATTTATTAACCAAAGATTTTCGTGATATCTACGAAATATTTGGCCATCGATGTAACGACCATGACATTCATTGATTGATTCAACAAAACTGTTATACACACGACCAAGTATTTTCCTGCCTGTCCAGTGCCTTCCATTAATATAAAAAGAAAAAAAATATTTCGCTCAACAAAGCGAATATATTCCGTCAAATCCACCGAATTACTTCGACATTTATCGCTATCTACCGCAATATTTTTCGCAATCGACCAAACGTTATCAACCAAGAAATTTCACAACGTTATCCAAATTCGGTGGTTCACGTAATAACCACGTTCATGAATTGGCTCAACAAAATTGACACGCACTCGACCAAGTATTTATCGTACCTGTCCAGTTTATTCCGCCAGATGGAGACGTCCCGCGACACTAATAACTAAAAACAATTTGATACTATAAATACTAGAAACGGTATTTCCATACCACTCGACATTCCTCCCGGCTGGACAGCCCGCAGGAAGCCAGTGCTCCTTGGACGACTCCGTCCGATGGATCGTTTAAAAAGTTGCTTTAATCGCGCATACGTTTGTTTTTTTCCTTTTTTAATTAATTCCCAGGAGGGAGTCAGGCTTGGCAAGAATTCGGGACGCGTGCGAATCGGTGGCGACTATCTCAGCAGGTCCGAGCGCGACGAGGGTCGATGCCGCTTATCTTTACGGTCAATTAGAAGCGTCCCCCGATATAAGCGAACAGAGGAGGGGGGCAAGGGACGGCTAATGCAATAAATAAATTCCAATCGCGCTACGGGTTCGATCTCTCTCTCTCTCTCTCTCTCTCTCCTCTTTCCTCTCCCTCCTGCGCGCGCAGGAGGCGCGTCGGCGCGCGGAATCGGAGGCCTTCCCGGTCGGACCGGTCCTGGAGTCATCGGCGTCGATTACCGCGAGATTACGACGCTCGGACCTGATAAGCGCGCGCGACGTCATTTTTGGCTGGTTTTCCGTGCTCACCGCGAACGGGACGCTAATCGCGCGGAAGACACGCGCCAACTATTAGTAATGCCGATAGTAGCTCGATAGATCTCGGGATTGAACCGCCGAGCGCGATAAGCGCCTCGTTGAGCGATGCTGTAAACGGGTTATCGCTAAATCGAGCAAAAGAAAAAACCCGACGCGCCGTCGCGACGACCGCGAGTTCCGACTTCCGGCTCGGATAAGGGTTATCGATTTTTCCCCCCATTTTTTAGTGTCCCGGTTTCTATGATTTTTAGCATTTCCCAGGAGACGGCTACCTTCGAGAAGGCACGTTCTGCATTCCTGCGCCGAGAAAGAAAAAGACTAGTTAACCGAATGAAATAAATACCGTTCATAATACACGTTATTGCCTGACTTTTATATATGACCGCGGGAAACGATTATTTCGTTCAGCGAAAAAAAAAAGAGAGAAAAAAAAGAAAATTGACGTCGGTATAGACGGATTTTGTTAGCTCGGTTCAACATTTCTTTGGAAACGAACGAAATGTCATATCATTCTTTGCGATGCACATGTCTTTGGGAATGTCATATCGTACGTCGCGAGGCATGTTCCTTAATCGAATATGCTCATGTCAAATATGTCAAATGGCATGTTTTTTTTAGTGAAACGATTCTTTTTTTTATTTTCTTCTCCTTTTCTCGGGGTCGGGTGATTTTCTTAGGGCTTTGGGACTTGTCCAGATATTCCCGAGGGATCGGCGGCGACAAAGGCGGCCCTTGTTCCCGATCGGCGACTCAAGTCCGCTCGCCGTCTCGCCGAGTCGTCGCGGCCCGTCGAGCGGGTACCTAGAGTAGATGAGCGCTAATTGGTGTTAATTGGTGGCTCGCTCGGAGACCCGCTTTCCCACGGGCTCGGCTTTTTTTACGCCCCCTCCCGCACCTTGCGCGCGCCATGTATTCTAATTCGCGAGAGGGGGCCCCACCGAAGCTGGCCGGGGCCTTTGTCGAGCGCCGGGCCCGAGCCGAGCCGAGCCGAGAGGAGAGGAATCGGGCGTTAACGTGCAATTGCGGCGTAAGGCGGAGCCGTGGCGAACCTTCGGCTTGGCCCCACGAAACGCGTCAACTTTAGCCTTTACGAGACCCAGGAGAGAAGGATGCTGCCCCGGATGAGATGCATCTTGGTCGATTTTTCTTGACCAGTCGCGCTCGAAATTTAAGCGACACCGTGTGACGACTTCGACCTCTCTTTTTTTTGTTCTTTTAAATCAAAACAGGCTCCGCCTGAGTTTTGGGGTGAATTGGGAAATCGGTGCAAAAAATGTGCAACGATAGTTGGAAAACTGGAGGATAGAATTTTTGGATCAATCGTCCTGGAAAATGAACGACATTGGGCGATGATCTTAATGCTTCGTTTTGTTTTTTTTTTTCTTTGTAGAACAGGCTCTGTCCATATTTAGGTTCAGTTATGAGATCGCTGCAAGAAGAGTGCAACGACAAAGAGGGAACTAGGAGGTGGAGTTCCTGGACCAATCGCGTATGAAGATAAAGCGATACCGTGCAATAATTTCGACCATTCGTGGTCTTTTTTTTTTGTAGAATGGACTCCGTCCATTTTTAGGCACAATTATGGAATCGTTGCTAGAAGGGTGCAACGATATAAAGGGAACTGGAAGATGGAGTTCCTGGACTAGTATGCATTTGTAAATTAAGAGATGATTTCGACCCCTCGGTTCTTTTTCTTTATCGGGAGGGTCTCTATCTATATTTCAGCTTAATTGCGGGACCACTTCGACGAGTCTACAACAATGGAGGGAAAAATTTCAGCTAGGGAGAGTGTCTCGGAATTCGCGTGGGTGCCGCAGCCGCTTACCTAGGAGGAAGATGCTCGCAAGGAGCGTCCCTTTGTCCGGAGAGAGGCCATTGTCGAGGAATCGTCCGGAGAAAATCCGAGGGACAATCCGAGGCTAATCCTTAACATGCCCGCGAGAGATCCTGGGAACGAACTCGGTCCCAAAATTTCCCTCCAATAAGAACGGAACATCCGAGACTTGCGAAGAATCGGGCACCAATCTCGCCGAACATTGAGCGAAGCATTTACTTTCCGCGGGAAATTAATTACTAGGTAAATAAAAAAACTCATTAATGGCGAATAAATACTGTTCGAAGGAAAAAAGAAAACATGAGTTACCCGGATCATTTTATTAAATTCTATTGTTTTTTTCTTCGAGAATATTGTTAATTCTTCAGCAAGTCTTCCCCTCTTCGAAGTGAATCAACTTTCCATTCTAACCCGTTTATGTCCACAAACGTAACCGACGAGTCAAACAAAGTTGATTAAACTGTGCTGAGAAATAAGATGAATTGACCCGAAAGAAATATACATTGTTATCTGAATCATATGTAAATGCAAGATACAATTATTTTTCTGCGAAGGAAAGTCAATGTTCTTGATTTAAACGAATTACAATTACTCAATTTGACATTTTTCCGGACGTACTTGACCGCAGGACTTTATCGTCGCGATGTATATTTCTCTGAGCCAACCAAGATGTTTATTCTCAGTGTTTGTTGTTTTGGAAAATCGAGCACAGTTTGAAATTCTGTATAATTTCATTCGATCTCATTTTGTCGACATGACAGAGATCCGATTCTCGAGTTTGTGCGAATTTCTTTCGCATTCGGACAGATAGGCATGAAAAGTGTCGCAGGTTACGAGGTCATGTTATTAGTCAACGCTCGAAAGTCGTATACGAAATTGTTAATTTTCCATGGGAAAGTTGATCGAATGATCTCGAGAATAAGGTCCCAGATGTATTTGACGGGAGAATTTCTTTCTATTTTTTCTTCTTCTAGAAAGGGATCTTTTTCGTTCACTGTATACCCGCCGCGAGGAGGCATTAATCGTGCTCCCGAATTTACGAGCGGGCCGTTAAACGATTTGCAAGGACCCGGAATGTCACTTGGACTTGTCTGCTAAAGGCGGCCTTGACGCTCCTCGTACCTGCGAGTCGGAATCGGACTTTGGGAGCGATCTGGCGAACCGTGTCTCACATACCGGTCGCGAGGCGTTCTTTTCTGACGGAGCGGACGCGCCTCGACCTCGCGACGAGTCTTCGGGTTCGCGGAAAGGAGCGAGCAGCACGTGAGGCCGCGTACAAAGTCCCCGGGCGTACGGAGCGGGCATTAAACCGGCGGCGAGGATGGACGCCAAGTTGGAGGCCCCACGGCCACGCTTCGATAGAGGACGGCGGAGGACGCGAAGGGAAGATCGATGAAAATCCTAAGTTGAAGGCAGAAAGGGTTGAAATTCAAGAATCCCGAAGCCAGGGATATAATCTTCGGAATGGAAGAAACATTTATCATAATAATAATCGAATCTCGAATAAATGGAACGGAACGTTTCCTTGGAATATCATGATAATTGATTCGAGCCAAATCCTTTGAATTAACAAAATATACCTTTGGTTCAATGAATTTCTTTTTTTTTTTTTCTCTCAGCGCAGGGACAAGGATACTTTTTGGTCGATGCCAGGATTTCATTATTCTACCTTAGGAAGTATTACTTTTTCTCTAGAAAGCTTTCCAATCGCTGCAACTGCGTTCGACACGATTGTTAACATTTTCCCCCGTCGATGCCATTATTTCGGCAGTAAGGGGGGAAATTAATCAGCAACGATGCCCTTTGATGGAAGGCTAAATTTCGTTTTTTCTGTGTACAGAAGTTTCACGCTCTGTTAGAACTGTGGTCCGAGAGAAGGCGTCTCGGGGCCCGAGAGAAGGCCCTCGGATAAGAGGAGCAGTCGAGGGCCTCTCGCGGCATTCCGCGTATTAAATGCCTGCGCACATGAGGGGCCCGGGAGGGGGTGCGCGTGCGCACTCGCGCGGGAAAGGGGGGACAGGACTTTGGTATGCGGTCCGCGCACCGGGTTCACACACCACCGCTCGGAGGCATTGCCCAAACCCCGCGCGACGTTCCACCTTCGTTTACATACGACGCGCTACACCTGCGGGGCGCGGCGGTGTGCGTGCGACTCAGCCCGCTGCGACGCAGGTACGAGCCGCGGAGGAACGGGGACCGTTCTCCGGTCCCACCGTTCCGTCGGCCGTTCCGAGATGCGGGCAAACACCTGTTGGACCCTGAGTCACCGAGCGGTCCCCCGTGGGGCCCCGATTTCGGGCCCCCCGAGTCCGGGATGTTTCCGAGCCTCCACGTGGGAGGGACCTCCGGTGCACCGAGCCGAAATTACGCGTGCCTGACCGGGCAGGTGAACTAGCTATTTATACTCTTGAGATGTTACGAAAGGGCTATTCTACTCTGAGATAAAGTTTTCATCCAACTAAAGAAATATTTCACTTTATAGTATAGAAATGAAATGTTTCATTAAACCAATGAAATACTTTCTTAACTCGGAGAACACTTACTTAACTCTCATAGACGCGAACTAATTGGATGCAACATTTCAACGGAATCGCGGTGATTTATTTTGGTTTATTTCGGCCATTTGAGAAGATTTGTATAAATACTTTACATATATATAGAATGACCCTTCTATAACACCTTAATCGTTTGCGGGGAGAAAGTATCGTTTAGCGGTTCCGCATCCAGCGCATGCGTATTGCCTCTTGCGCTCGCGAAACGCATGGTCTTTCTCTCTCACTTTCTCTCTCTCTCTCTCTCTCTCTCTCTCTGTATGTTTCTTTTTGACCGGCGTGCATGCGGGAATTTTGTGCGACTATATTCCGCGTTTCTGGGCCGTGATGAATAAAGAATGAGTGGAAAAAGTGGCCCCAGGCTTAATCGTAAATCGACGTCAAATTCGACATTCTACCGTCCGTTGTATAAATATATTACAACGTATTAAACCCCATCCCTGCACTAAGAAAAGAAACACATTCATTGAACCAAAGAAACATTACTTCGAATACTAACAAAGAGATATTTCATTAATTCATAGGATAATTAATAGACTCAAACGAGCCTAAACTGTCACAATTTCGAAGAAACGTCGCACACAATTTATTTAATTTCAGTCAAAGAATTATTCTTGAAATATTTCTTTGGTATCGCTCAAAGAAATATATATCTGGTTCAATGGAAGTTTTTCCCTCAGCGTGTGACCTTGCTATCGACGGATTTCTAGGCGACGCACTTCCGCAACGACGTCCGTCGCGGTAAACCCTCGACGTGGCAACGCATGTTCCCGCGCTAACGTGGGTCACAGCGCAGTCGACCGTACGTCGAAAATGCGTCCGTCGCAACGCACGTCATCTTTTCCAGTCGAATGGTTCCGACCTAACCTTACTTCGACGGCGCCGGCACCGGAAGGAAACGTACGCGCGCGAGGCCGGGACCTTCCGGACCGGCCGGCGTAACGCGCGCGTAACTCGGCCGGGCGATAACGATAACGGCGGCGGCCGTCCACGTGGCGGCCGGCCGTGACGTCGCGCCATTGATAGAGGCGCCCGCATCGAGGAACCCGGCAGATACCGTGCGTACCCGCTGTGTGTGTGTACGTGTGTGTGCATAGTCGATATATATGCCGCGCGGAGGCGCGCGCATCGGTAATGGCTGATAGCGACGCAGGTCGGCCGCCAGGAAAGAGAAACGGCGCGAATAGACAATAGTGCACCGAGAAAGCGGAGGCGTCCCTGTGAGGTAGGAAAGGATCGGGTAGAAAAGTTGCGGCAAAGCTACAGCGGAGTAGCGGCAGAGTTGCGACGGAGTTGCGGTATAGTGCGGTATAGTGCCCCTCGGGGGGCCCGACATGGAAAAGGGTGGAGAAGAGTGAGAAAGAGAGGGAGAAAGGACCCGGCGTAGGCACAACCGTGATTTAAGGCCCCGGCGGCGCAGATCCAACGGAATGCGAATTTCAGGGCCCCATGTCGCGGGGTCCGGTTAACGAGAACGGGCCCCGAATTTCAATCGAGGGTCCGGACGATAGATAGAGACGGTAGTTTTCCGGAAGGGGGGGGGGGACTTCCGAGTCGATCGAGGTGTCGAGGTGCGGGGGCGACAAGGTGCGGGGCCCGAGGGACCCGGGGAGGGAGGCGCGAAGAGAGATAGCGGGGCATCCGGGCTTTTATCTCCGCGGGCCGCCGTCACCTTCGCCTCTGCGTCCCACTTAGAGCTCCTCGGTCGTTTGCTTTCCAGGATTTTTTCATCGCTATCCGGAGCCTTGTAATTGAATTAGCTCGGTGAGCGCTAAACGGACGGGGCTCTGTCGGGCCCCGGCGCTCGGCGGGAGCGATTTAAGGGTCTGCACCGTGTTTATGCCCCTGGGTCCTCGAGGACGAGGAAGAGAAGCAACCGCGAGAGGCTCCCGACCGCCCCCCTCTCTTTGGACCCCTCTTAGGGCACACGAACGAGTTATGAGATATACAAACGCGAGGGCCCTCGAAACGGCCCTCGATGTGTGTCCTGGCGTTTAATGCGCTCGCCGGAACGACCCGTCCCCGAGGGCCCTTGGGCTCCTCTGCTACTTTCGGGCCCCTTTAAGGCCCCTACCGACGTGCCGCTGCAACAAGGCCGCGCGCGACCCATCGGTTCCCATTCGGCCTGGCGCAATCGGCCGGACAATGGGAGTCGAGAAGGCGACGCCGACGTCCACGCAACCGGCCCCTCGGTGTGGGCTCGGGCCCAAGAAATGCGCGAATCGATCGAGGAAGCGTCTGCACGGCGTCGAAAGTCACTCGGGCCCACGTGCGAGTTCGAGTCGAGATCCGGCGCGTACTGACCTCGGGGACCGATATCAAACCCTTCAAAGTACCATGATCCTTCGGCACCGATATTAAGGCGATGTGAAAGTGCCGTCCGAGAGGTTAATCGTTCATTAAACTTTTCCCCGAACTGGGTATACCGAATCGTTTCAAACTTCAGAACGTGAATATGGAGGCTATAAGGAAGGTCCCGACACTCATGAAATTTCATTTTTTTTTTTTAATTTGTTTATGGACATCTCCAAAATTTTTTCTAAAAAATAAAATTTCTCGGGTGTCGGGCCACCCTTACAGTCTCCGTATTCACGGTGTAAAGTTGGAAACGATTCGGTACCCCCGGTGCGGAGATAAGTTTCACGAACGATTGACCCCTTGGATCCCACTTTCACGTCCCCTTAAAAAGTGTAGAGTTCCGTGATCGAACCTGAGACCAATCGCGCTGACACCAGCGTCTCTTTGCCCTGTCCTGCCGTCGTCAAACCTCGGGAATCGATTTATAGATCCCTTTATTGATTAATGATCCCCCTTTTGGGGGGAGACGGAACCGAAACTCACCGTCCATCGGAAGGTGAAGTGCAGCTGCAGGGTGACCGGCTCGTTAAGGGTGAAGGTGTTCTGGCCGAGGGCGTGACTAGATACGTTGCCGAAGCTGCAGGAACCGATGGCGGTGACGTTCGACTGGTACTCCTTAAGGCAGAGCCAAAAGGCCGTGGTGCAAGGCGTCGTGCAGGGCGGCAAGCCGCCTCCGCCGCCCCCGCCGCCTCCCCCGCCGCAGCACCGCCCGTCCACCAGGGTGCCTCTGTTGTTCGTCAGCGAGAGGATCTGCACCTCGAAGAATCCGCTTCCGGTTGTCGCCTGTGGGCACAAGATAGGAGTCAGCCTCGATCGAGGGTCCTTTGTCCTTTGTCGCCGTCTAGCGCGACTCCACGTGGGACGTCGCGCCCCGCCAGGCCCATGAGAATCGTGCCCACTTTCTCGCGCTGTTCTTCCCTCTTTCTCAATCAAATAAAATTCCAAGTCGAAAAATATCCCCAAGTCCCATCGCGGCTCTGCATATATTTCTTACATACACCGATAAAAATCGATGGAAATTTATGTACATTTTTCCCCTGGAAAAAATCCTCAACTCGAAGAAATATGCATTGCTACAACCAAATAGCAGCCGATCAAATACGTCCGAAAGAATGTCAAACCGAGTAAATCAAGATTCATTTCAATCGACAACGTCAATTTTTCTTCTAAACAAAATCATTACACCTATGCAATTATATATGACATACATCATGTATACCCTGAGAATAAAATGTCATTGAGCCAAAGAAATATTTCTTTCAACAGTACCGAAGACATATTTCGTGGATTCAAAGAATAATTATCTGACTCAAACAAAATTGCCATAATTCCGAAGACACGTTACATCCAATTCATTCCAGTTCATTCGAATCAAATAATTATCCTCCGAATTAACAAAATATTAACCATAGGTTCAAAGAAACATATTTTTAGTTCTCTGATTTTTTGCTCTCGGTGCGTGTCAACGGTATGTTATTTTTTATTTTTATTTACTACGCTTCCATGGCATAGTCATCGATTCCGCCATGCAATGAGTAGATTCTCTCTTTTTATTTTTATTCACTGATGATCGCTTCTGTAGTCATCGATTCCACCGCCGAATGAGATCTTTTTTGTTTTTCTTCTTTTTTCCCTTTTTTTTATTTACCGATAATCGTTTCCGTGGAGCCATCGAATTCACCACCCAATGAGAAGATTAAGATCGGAGCGAAATTTCTCGGCAAGCCCGAGAGCATGGCTCCATATGGGCAAGGCGAAGATGGGCAACGAGAGGGAAGGAGCGGGCACGGCGTGTACCGAGAAGAACGGAAGTAACGAGTCAGACGTGGCCTACGGGTCTCCGTTGGCGCTCGGCGTTACACCTTCGTCTCGGTTAAACGGCAGCGCCGTTAAAGGCAGTCGAAGAGAAGCCACGTCGGAAGGAATCGCGCGGTTTCGAAAGGGACGAGCAATTTGGCCGACGTTCTCCGCCGGTGCGTGTCCGTTATGCGAGCCGCGCGTACGTAGACCCGGTGCCCGTTCGCGTCGGTGCATAGAGGCGCATAATTACCGCAGGAGTAAGATCGAAGGTAGAAAGCGCAGAGGATCGTCCGCGAGCCTCTGCTTTCCATGGCGCGTTTCCTCCTGGGGTTACATAAGACTTCCCGGCGAGGACTCGACTGCGCCGAAAATCGAATTTCTAAGTCAATCCCACAGCTTTCCAGAGAAGAGAACTGAAATTCATCAGTTCATTCGAGAGCTTCATTCGGGCGAGAAATCAATGCCAGCCTAAGAAACTATTCCGACAAAGTGAGGATAACTGACCCAAGTACAAAGGATACAAATGGAAATAGAGGAGATAGGAAAAATAATACGCATATATTTATCCGTAAAAAGAAGAGGTGCCCTTCCGTAACGATTAGGGAACCCGAATTTAGACCGAGATAACGATTCAATTGAACCTGAGAAACATTTCCTTAACTAGTACCAAAGGAACATCTCGTATATTTAAATTAGTTTCTTTACCAAGATAACCTCGAACAAAGTTGGACTCTTCGGAGTGAAATATAATCATCACTTGGAATAATGAAATATTTCATTGGTTTGAATGAATTGAATTCTTTTTTTCTCGGGGTAAAATAGAGAGAAAAAGTGGCTCTCTCCCTCTCTCACTATGTGCAAAAAAATGTTATGGTCAGATGGACGGAAATAACCGTTCCAAATACAGAAGGTATTTCAGAAATAGTACAAAAGGTATTAAAAAAAAATAAAAAAAATAAATAGAGAGAGGCATTTATTCACGGTTATCTCGAATTTGGGAGTTCGAGATCTCTCTCGGCGTACCGTTGCGGACAAAGCGCACCGTCTATCCGGGACAAGATAGAAAAAAAAAGAAAAATAGGAAAGAAAGAAAATTAAAAAAAAGAGCGGCTCTCTCCCAAGCTTCCGTCCGAGTCCGCCTCGGCGAGGACTTCGTGGAGAGTCGTCGAGGTCTGCTGTTTGCTCTCCAAAGTTTGCTCAGTCCCGTCACGCGCCCGCGGCCGTTCTCTCGCGGAAGGGACGGAAAATACAGGAATAAAATGGAGGGAGGGAGGAAAGGGGGGAGGGGGGGAGGAGGAGGAAAAATAGAGTGAAATAAAAAATAAAAGGCGAGATCCCCCAGCGGCCAGATCGACGTCGCAGCCGCTTCCGGCACCGGCGTTTCTCACGGTCGACGTCGCGACGCGCCGATTGAGTTCTGGACACCTAGTACGTGGCCGAGGTTTCCGCGCGGATCGGCCGCACTCGTCGCGTTCCACGGTCGGCAGAAGCGAGCGCGCACGCGGCCTTGTGTGGGTACCGAGAAGAGAGGCCTCGGCTTTCCTTTCCGCATAGCCAAGGTGCAGCCGGCCATACCTCCGAGAGAGAGGCTCCTTTTATACGTGGAACTTACGGGCTTAATATGAATAATTTGTTCGGGCAAAAGAAGCACGCCGGCCGAGCGCCGCGCATAACCCGCCGCGGCTCTACCGTAACGCGGACGCACTCCGCGCGACTCTGCGCGCGGCGTTTCCGTTTTCGCACGAGGGGTGGCTCGTCTTCCCGCTGCGTTTCCGTTGAACTTTGGGATCGGCTCATCTCGTTGAAATGAGATATTTATCTTAGGATCATTATACATCCAATATACATTTATTATATATATATATCGGATACCTAGATCATAGTCAGGGGATTTTGACCCTCCGTAATTCAACGTGGTTTTTCAAGTCAGGCGAAAGCTGAGATAATGTGAAATTTGTTTATCAATTGACAATCTACAATTTTGAATGTATAAATAATTGTAAAGGAGGACCGTAACGAGGTGCCGCGTTTCATGTTACGCCGGAATAATTGGATGAGGTATGAAAGGTATGAAGGCCATCGATACGGAGATGGGTGAGTTCAAAATTATGCGGTTTCCTAGAGGAGGAAGAAAGGAGGTTATTTCGAGAAGTTTCTCAGTGAGAAAATTATGGATTTTAATGCTCGAAATCACGTGGCAATCGCAACTCGAAATCACTGAAAATCATCGGGAATCACCGAAACATTGTAACGATTTTAAAGCCAAATGTCACTTATTACCGAATTGCATGGCTGGTTTATCATATGAAATTAAAATCGAAAACAATCGAAATATCAAAATTTAAGGCGATCGGTTACTCAAAGAAGGAAATCGTTTTCGCTGATTTCCGAGTGACTAGCCCGAGTATTTAGTCTCTGGTTTGTAAATCTCGATGAGAAACGGAGTCGGGAGAAAATTGAGGGAGAATCTTACAGCCGGAGAAACCGGAGAAACATGGCGACGGGTCCGGGAAAGACGTTCGAACGACCGACGACCCGATCGAATTATCGTACGATCGGAGCCACGAAGAAGAGAGACCGAGGCAACGAGGGTACGGAGAACGAGCGAGACGGACGCGGCGAGAGGGAGACGGACGGCTCCGAAGATTTATTCTCTTCTCGGGACGCGGTCTCTCTTAAGAGCGCTCAATTTTCTAACGTCGCGACTGCCGACCGCGGATATTACATTATGTATATTATCGTCCGTTACTTCTTGAGCGTTTGCCAGTCGCTAAGTATGCCCGCGTCTCCGTTCGAAAACCGCACCGAGCGTGAGCGTTTCCCGCGCCGATATATAGTCGATGAACCCGTCCGGGTCGGGGGCAAAAGTCGGGGTGAAAGTTAAAACTGAAAAGAAGAATCCTAACCTTCTTCTACGTCCGTGATAATAAATTTATACGGTATATAACCACTTGAAAATGGGCCGGTAAAATTTCTCTGCAGCAATTATCATGCCGTAAGGGCAAAATGAAGACTATTATTTCAGTAGGATGAAAAAAGAAAGATATAAACGTTATCCACGTGACTCTTCGAAGGCCTTATGCGATCTTTCGGGGACCTTATACGGCCCTTCGGGGGTCATATCAACCGTTCGGGGGCCTTACTCGACTCTTCGGGAGCCTTGCGCAGCCCTTTGGGGACCTCGCGCGGCCCTTCTGGGGCCTTACGCGGCTCTCCGGAGGCCTCATGCGGCCCTCCGGGGGCTTCATGCAGCCCTTCGAGGGCCTCACGCGAGGCTGACCGCGGGCCGGGAGGGGCGCTCGGTTTCGGTTTCGAAAATCCGAGGGCCTTTCATTTTATCTGTGAGCTCCTAAGTTATAGGTAGTAATTACCGGTGGCCGCTACCTGCCCGAGTGAAATAGGCCTGCCGAACACCATTTAATTTTATACCGGGGGCTGCCCGGTCGCGTTGCCCCGCGCGGTGCAGCCGCATCCGTGTGCGACCGCCGCGCGGCCACGCACACGCGGAACCTCGACTCGCGGCACCGGTCACGGCCCATATATCTCTCCGGACGGAGGAAGACCTATACTTAATATTATTTGCTACCACGAGACTCGGGGTGAGACCCACCCGATACCGGAATCAGCCACAAATTACCGAAATAATTAAAAACCCTCGCCGTGGGAAGGTCGCAGCATGAAACCCCCGATCGCAAGGGTGGTCAAGAATGACACCCTAAAGAGGTTGCTCCTGAAAGTCGGATTTTTTAAACCTTCGTTATAATAATTAAGACAGAATTAAAGGAGAGAGCGACGCCCCGAAGTGGATCCTTTTAAAAGTCGGATTTTTTAAAACCTTCATTGTAACAATTGAGGAAGAGAATTTAAGGATAGTAGAGTGACACCTTGAAGAGGCTCCACTCCAAAGTAGCATTTTTAATGGCTTCGCTTTGATTATCAAGGGGAGGAATTCGAGAAGGGTAGAATGGCACCTCGAAGCGGCT